GGAGGTGGTCGGCTATGGTGGACGGGTGTGGGTGATGAAGGAAGAAGAAGGGTTGGAGGTGGTTGGCTGTGGTGGACGGGTGTGGGGGATGGAGGAAGAAGAAGGGTTGGAGGTGGTCGGCTATGGTGGACGGGTGTGGGTGATGAAGGAAGAAGAAGGGGGAAGTGGTTGGCTATGGTGGACGGGTGTGGGGGATGGAGGAAGAACAAGGGTTGGGGGTGGTTGGCTATGGTRGATGGGTGTTGGTGACGGAGGAGGGAGGAGGGTTGGGGGTGGTTGGCCATGGTGGACGGGTGTGAGTGATGGAGGAGGGAGAAGGGTTGGGGTGGTCCGGCTATGGGGGATGGACGTGAAAGAAGGCCCGTTGGACGTATCCTAACTCCTAGCCCCGTGCCTCCGTTTTCTATTTCGGGTGCCTGACTGCCCCATATCACTTTCGGAAGTCACCGGTCACAGCAAAAATGGGGAAGGGATCGAACTGCAGCCCACACACACTCACACACACACTCACATACTCCGAATGTCCCCGGGTACAGCCAAGGGTAAAACTGGACTGCACAGGTTGCCGGGAACTGCAGCATTCACACATATCCACACCGAATGTTACTGGGTACAGCAAGGGGTAAAGATGGACCGCACATGTTACCGGGGACTGCAACACTCACACATACACACACCGAATGTCACTGGGTACAGCAAGGGGTAAAGATGGACTGCACAAGTTACCGGGGACTGCAACACACACATACACACACCGAATGTCACTGGGTACAGCAAGGGGTAAAGACGAACTGCACAAGTTACCAGGGGCTGCAGCACTCGCACATACACACACCGAATGTCGCAGCGTACAGCAAGGGGTAAAGACGGAATGCACAAGTTACCGGGGACTGCAACACTCACACATACACACACCGAACGTCACGGGGTACAGCAAGTGGTAAAGATGGACTGCACAAGTTACCGGGGACTGCAGCAGTCACACATACACACACCGAATGTTACTGGGTACAGCAAGGGGTAACAATGGGCTGCACAAGTTACCGGGGACTGCAGCACTCACACATACACACACCGAATGTCACTGGGTACAGCAAGGGGTAAAGACGGACTGCACAAGTTACCAGGGACTGCAGCACTCACACATACACACACCGAATGTCACTGGGTA